TAAAGTATATTCCTAAAGATGCACTCTATTCTCTCAGACAATCTCTAGTCAATTTATAAATTTTACTATAGTTGCTACGAGTATGTTTACTTTAAATAAATAATAAAAAAGTCTGGAAGTTTCACAGAACCTCAACACTATTCAAAGTTTAGATATAAATTTAGTTTTGCTAAAATAAAATCATAAGTTATGTTTATTTTAAGTCTTATAAACATATATAGACTAAAATCTAATAGTTTTGTACATCAGATGTCGGGGTCTTATGAATACTTTTGTTTTAAGATTCTAGCTATAGACATACAAAATATATACAAGAACGCTGATCACAGAAAATTTGCTACCATCTCATAAACTTCTTTAAATTTACTTATTATTATAGAATAAAAGTTCTGATTATTATGATACACTGAATTGAAGAGTAGGCTCAAAACATATGAAATATGTATGTATTTTGATTATACATTGCAAATGTATACAATATATGTAAGTAAATGGTTCAAATTTCTATGTTTCACCCAACAGTCAATTTTACAAAAATCGGATTAACAGAAACTTTGGTAACTCAGAAACTAGTTTTATATCTTCAAAATAAGCTAAATTTAAAGAAAAATGTGTCGTTATGTATAACAGCAATATAGAATTTTATAAAAATTAAAACATTTTTAAAAAATAATTAATTTTTATGAATTTTTTTTTTGTCAAAATTAAGTAGCAACAAAAGGATTGAAACTACTTACAAGAGTCAATAAATCGCTAGCAGAAATTTTTTTAAAACTGAGATCTAGTGTTCATACAAATATTTTTATTTTATGTAAGTCTACTTAACCAGTTGATAACTTTCATCAGTTTTGTAAACCCATTTCCTATTTTAACTCGCATTTAATACTCCAAAAGTTTGCAAATGGAAACAGATTATTTGTATCTATAGTTTTATGAAGAAAGACTATACAGTAGCAAATGTTAGATCTTTCTGCCTTGAAATGCAATAAATTTTTTTATAATTGTTAATTTTTGCAACACAGTTCATAATACTAAAAATTCTTCATTTTAAAACAAAACCATTATTTGTTTTGTATCTTGTGATATACTTAAAATAAAAATTTAAAAAATCTCAATACATTACTATTTTAAAGCGGCATACTACATTAGTAAATCGTAATGTTCAAGTAATGTGTTTATTGCAATAATTTTCATAATTTTTTATTCAAAAAATTTAAATTAATCAAGAAAATGAAGTCTGATTAAAAACCACACAAATTGCCTTCTAAGAAAAACTACTTAAGGAAAAGAAGTTAAGCGTGTAGAAAGTGTATATAATTTTGTAGTTGAAAATAACAAAATATAAAATTTTTTTACTAAGATTTTTAATGAAAGTCATTAACAAATGAACATTTTTATTGCTTTAAAAAAAATCAAATTTGGTTCAAATAAATCTTAACAAATAAAAAATTTCTTCAGACTATAGTTGAATTTAAATACTTAATATTAGTGCAAATGAAAAAAAATCTGCAAAAATAACAATTTTCAGAAGAGAAAGTACTAGAGTTTTAATTACTTTCCAAAGAAAAAATTTTTTTCTTCACAAAAACAATTTTTTTATAAATATGTAAAACTATACTAACTCAGACATACAGTCACAAAATAAAATTTCAGTCTATTTGAAATAAAAGGACTATTATTTATCTAACGGTGGCACATTTAAAAAGAAAGTGTTTTCTTTTAATTTCCTGTGAGATTTGGCAAAAAAAAGTACTGATAACAGAACTTTTACCAGTGACAAAGTCTGATAAAAATGGCTATAATGGATTTTTATAAAGACAATACTAGATAAAAAAAATTTGTCTGTCAATGTTATATTCATATCAAAAAGCATCTTTTAAATAAAATATTGTTTCTAAAATTCATAACACCAATTATTATCGCTAAAAGTTTCACTCAGTATTTATACATATTTATTATTATTCTTTTAATCAATAAAAATGTTCAATGTTTTATATATATATATATAAGTCAAGTTAGAAAGAACACTGCTTTAAACAGACATTTCTATAACAGTAAACTACAAAATTATGACAGCACTTTTTTCTTATTGTTCTAGAGACAGTATCTGTAATTGTAATCATTTTCACATAAGTGCATGCAATATGCTGGCTAACACTAATGTTTTAAACTCACACCAGCTAGTTGTAGACTGGGTGCAGATAATAAAAATTAAATAAAACTAATTAAAAAGTCAATACAACAACATATTCCTTTCCTACTACAGATACCTAATCCTGATACCTAGTGAATTTTTTTTTATTACTTAACTGTTTCAGGGTATCTAGCAAAAATTTGATTAATGACCCTGCTAGTTCTAAGCACTTAACCAGATAATGTTAATCAATTATGCAAAACAATAAAAATAATATAATTTTTAATCAAACAAATATTGTACGAGATATAGTTTTAAGTAAATTAATGACATGCATATAGAAGCAAAATTCTTAGTTCTTATATTTTTCTTAAGTTTTAAAATATATTTAAAGAAATATGTAAAAGATATTAAAAAAAACTTGCTAGATGTAGAATGATTGACGCAAGACTTAGTAATGAAGATAGATACTAATGGTGAACTTTGTAACCTATTAAATTTTTCATTTGATTTCATTATAATTTTAATAGTATTTTACTGGTGTAGCTTCTATTAAATGTAGGATATCTTGAAACCCTAGTAAAATTATCTGGTTAATCAGCCTAGAATAATTAAAACTGATAAATGGTTCCAGGTATCTCATATTGAAATTCATTACATCGACCAGTGTAATGAAAATCTGTTATCCCTCAGTTAAAACGGAAAGATTTAGGGTGCCCTACTGAAAGGCATCCGCTTTTTTTAACTAACATCAATTTTACAATTGGTCTTATACTAATTAAAATAATTTCAAACATTTTGCAATCTAACTACAAATAAAATATAATCAAACAGGCAAATTGAAGGAAACTATTCTGTTTCAGCCAATAGATTATATCCATGTCCTGAATAAAACATTTTAAAAGTGTCTCTCAGACCATACTTTCTAACTTCAGGGGTTACATAACTTCTTTTTTGATAAATGAATAAAAATATTTAATTTTTTTATTGAAATCATAGGTTTAAAAAATTTTTTAAAATATAGGGAAAGCATTCCCACAACAGCTTGTTGTGGGTCATTTTAGAATATAACCTTTAAAAATAAATTTTAAGCACTATTCTTACGAATGATTCTCCAAATGAAGAAAAATATTTTGACAAAATTTTTTTTGTCTTTTTTTAAGAAAAACTAAATAACTTAAATTTTATTTGCTCTATTTTAAATTACTACATAGTAGTAGTAAATATATTTAAAATTAAAAAAACAACATAATTTAGAAGTGCCAGAAATATGTTTGGCTTAAATTTATAGCTCATTTAAATACTTATGGGTGATTTAAGATACTTAATCTTTAAAAATTATCTTTATTCTTTATTATAAAGTATGTAATTTAAACTTCCTATACAAACTTGTTAAGATGCAACTAATGTATAACATTTCTTAATTTATTGGAGATCTTAGGGGTACAAAAGAACAGGAACACAAAACAAGAGGTATAATAAAATCACATAGATTAGCACTATTCGTTAGGAGAAGAGTAATATGAATTATTTATTATCTGGAAAAGTTTCTGTTTCTATATTCACTTCTAAGTTTTTCCAAAATTGATTCTTAAGAAAAGTTGACAACCAAAGTAAGGTCTCTGGAGACTATTACCACCAATAAAGCTGATAACTTTATGCTTTTGATAATAAAATGAATTTGAATGGCTATTTAAGGACCATTTAATGGAATGGCTAATAAACACCTCAATAATATACTTAATTTCAATGAAAATATATATACTCAACCAATAAAAACAAAAAGTTGTTGAAGGTGCCCTATTTACTAGCAAGAAGACCCTTCAATTACCATTAAGAAAGTAATTAAATATGTGAATCAATCTGCAATAAATCATGTTTTATACATGGAAAATAAACATGGGTGGACATCTTCTAACCAACATTACTACTTTCTAAAAATAGACACTACTTCTCTAAAAATAAAATTAATCAGTAGGCAGTAGATCAGAAGTTTTTTAATTGATGGGAAGCCTTCTTTGAGCAGTGGATTGAAAATGGAAGATTGGATGACTAATTACCCATAACAGCCATGTTGGCCAAATCACAAACTAGCTGCTTTTCAGCTCTTCATTTAACAGTCCAATAATGCAATATTTCAATAACTGATTTATGTACTGCATGTTGAGAACCTTTGCCACAAAGTGACATACTCTTTCAAATAAAATATCTATTTCCTCCTTTAAAAGCTGAAATTAATTTATGACTATGATTCCATTCATGACTATCAATATGCGCTATGCTAGAAGAAGGTTTTCAGTCTCATTCTCATCCAGTTCCAATTTAGTAACTTATGTTTCTGCTAGGAGTTGATTGTTAATTTAAAAAATTAACTGTGCTGGCCTGCTAACAGCAATATCATCAACTGATTGATCATCAGATATTGAAAAAATTGCAAAACCTAACGTATTGAAAATATAGAGACATCCCTTTTTCTAAGGGCAGGAACGAGTCTTGAATGTAAAAGTTCATATAAATAAATTGGTTATGGCTTCTTAACAGTCCCTTCTATTCAAATAGACCAAAGTAGAATTGATATCAACTAAGTTGATAAAAAATTAAGGATACTAGGATACTTTTTGTTACATTTTAGATGACTAAAAGCACAATTCTTCAAATAAGTATACGATAACTTAAGGAGGAAAGAAAAACCGCATAAAATTTTCATATATTGAAAATGTGGCAAACTTCTTTTTTAATTGAATGAAAATATTAAGAATAAAATTAGGTATTAAAAAATATTTAAATCTCAACCAGAGATATATGATGAAAATACAAGGCAGTATAAAAGGCAAAATTAGTGAAAAGTAGAAGTAAAAGAACTTACAGCTGGTAATTCTCTACTATTCTTCGGTGATAGCCATTCAACTTCAGAAACAGTACTACCATCATGTTCTTTGCCATTATCTTCTCCATCAGAGACTATCATATCAAAGAAAATTAAAAATGATAAATAATTGTAGTTATTTACATTAATTTGCTTAAAATACTCTAAAAATAAATAATCTAGTTGCAAGTAAAAGAACAAAAATACAGTAGGGAACCGATTATCCGTAACGATCGGGACCATCGCTATTCCGGATAACTGATTTTTCCGGTTTTCTGAATCGCTACAAAAAGCCGTTTTTTTATTGTCAAACTCAACTAAAAAAATATATATATTTGGAAATAATCTTAAAAAGAAGAAAAATCAATTAAGTAATACACTAACGATTATTTCCAAAATAATGGTAAGGTAACATCTTTCAAAAAAGAAAGAAAAATCCTGAAATCTTATGAGGAAAAAAAAAAAAAAAATTTTAAAAATGGCGGGAAAATTTATCAAATTTTGTTCCGGTTTTTTGATTTCCGGATAACGGGCTCTGTACTGTATTATCATTTTTTCTAATTAACGAAATAACACATTTTCAATTTAGAAACATCTAAATTTTGTATTTTAATTAGATGAATTAATAACATGTTTGAAAAATTCTCTAAAAAAATTTACACATCATAAAAATTTCTGTTCATTGAACTAAAATATTAAATACAGTTTTTAGTAAATCATTAAGACTTCATTCATTTTCAGAACTAATGTAAAATGTGTGCACTTGTAGCAACTTTGTTGGGAAATGATTGTGTATTTCTTAGAACAACCTTTTTTCTAAATAGTTATCAATTGTGAATTCTAAGAATCACTTAATCATAGTTTCCATTTTTTTCATGTTTAAGGTGAAGATATTTCTTAATGACAGCAAAGTATAAGTAAATTTTTAATTTCACAAATGTGATGTGGAAGGATTTTAGCCATATATCATATAAACAATTCAAACATATGCATAAAAGTATAATCACAAGGTAATTTGTTAAGTGCTAACAAAATCATAACAGTTGACAGCAAATATTTAGCCTATTTCAAATACTTTCCTTAGAAATTTATGGCAGAAAACACTGTTTAATGTTCTCGTTTTAATGTCATTACTTTTTTATTATTCAAATGTTTTCATTAAACCAACTTTATAGAGATAGAGCTACCAGTAGATCTTTTATTATTATAGAGCAGTTCACATTTTAAACTATCCTAAATGTAATGAAAGGGATTTTTTTCAAGAAATTTTCATATTAAACATAGGTTGAATTGTGTAAAACAATAGCATATTTGACCTTAAACACTTCATGCAGTGTTATTCCAAATAAATATGATATTTTTAACAATACACGAATGTATTTTTCTAGGTTATTGATTAGTTTTCCTGACAGCGTTTTTGACAAGAAGTGTTTTAATCCATGATCAAAGCTGTCAAATGCTGACACTAGTTAAAAATCTGAACAACTTGATTTTTGAAAATGATTTTTTTAATTTTGAAAACTTGTTTTTTTTTTCATGATTTAAAAAACTCGTAACTTTGGAGCATTGAGAAACTGTAGCTAAAGATGCATTTTAAATTATAAGTGAATTCAAGCAGCAAACTGAGCACAAATGCTTCAAAATTTACAGCAAACACAGTTTTTTAGGCCGTCTTTTTAACGCTTAATCTTGTCTTAATTTACTTAATATATTAAACTATAATTCCAATAGCACAAAACTTGATAAGATGTAACAAGTAAAAAGAAAGAACAATAAAAAATGTTGTTGACTCATTCATCTTTTTGCCTACCAGTACTGCTTAACAGTCTAGCAGTATATTGAATTTAACATTAGGAATTGAGACAAGTAATTTCCAACTAGCTGTTTAGGAAACAAAAAAAAATTCCATTAAAAATTTTCAATACAGGCCATAAGTCATGGATTAATTCAACATTTGAATTTCTCATATGATAAACAAGATACATGAAAATTGTTTAGATAAAAAAGTATTTTCGCTGCAAAAGTTGATTTGCTTTGTTAAAAATATTCATTTTCAAAACTAATTAGTTTAATTACCTGGAGGAGAATAAAATGCACTTCCATCATCACTTTGGGAGCGAGATAATGCTGGATGAGACAAGCCTGGATTTTGCTCTTCATCATATTTTGCTAAAAAAAATATTGCTTTTTTTAAATATTTAATTGGTGCTAGTAGAATATGTCAACATACAGGGTGTTCAAAAAGTATGGAAACAGTCAAATATCAACCAATGAACTTTGAACCAAAACCAATAAAAAAATCTAAAAATTTATGTATTAAATACATGTAATAAATGCATTCAATGATACCAAATTTGATCACTCAATCACACCACCTCAGGTAAATGCAGTAGCAAATTTAAAATCTTTAATAACTCCCATTTTTTTGTATATTTGAATTTTCTGGAACAAACTACTCGAATTCAACTTTCCATTTCGGTTTACAGAGAAAGCTGTAATCCTATAAATTTAAAACTGGGTTCAAATTGCTAAAATAAAGATATCAAAATATGCATGTCGTGTATATAAAAAAAAAGAAAAAGAACTTGTATGAGATTTCAAAATAATGTATCCAAAGACACTAAGCTTGACCCCAATTCCACTTTCAGAGTTTGGGTAAAACTTGAAACATTCAAATGGTAACAATTATTTTGCTGTTGCAAGATCGATTCTCTACTGTGGGAAAAATTTCCGAACTAATAAAGTAAAAATATTTTTTTTCTCCAAAATGGCTTTTATTTTTTAACATTCTCTTAGTAAGTTTATATTTTTCTCCCAGCTTTTCTCCCATCTCTTTGATACGTGGAATCGTTATGAGCAAAATATTTAATAAAAATAACACCTTTATTTGATAAAAAAAAACTTTGCGCATCTGAGTTGTTTTACAGGGTGCATAGACAAATTTTTCAACAAAAAATAAGCACTCTTTAAGTACTTTTTTAGCACTTAAGAAATATTTTTAAGCCCTTTAAAAAAATATCTAATTAGAATATGCGCTTTAATTATTTTTTTTCCCTTCCTATTGCTGAAAGTTCATATATATTGAAACCAAATGCAAAATAATTTTCAATGACTTTACATGATCTTGATGAAATAACTAGTTTCTGATAAAGAATTTTTTTCTGATTATATTAGCCACCATAAAAACAATTTATGCACAATTTTAAATATATTCAATATTGAGTGGATCATTCTATTTTTTTAATTAATAATTATTATACAAAATTAAGTAAAAAAAATTTATTCAAAATTAATTAATTTAATTATTAAAAAAGATTATAGAGTATTTTTTAGATTTGAATAAAAATTATTTATGAAAGCATATTCTACGAAATATTAACAAGATTGCTATTATTGATCACACCAAATTTATAAAAATATATATAAAGAATTAAGCAAACTAAGAACTCATATTACAAGAGTAAATTAGTGAATTACCCATAATAAATTTTTATTAAAATGTATAACTTGGTTCAGTATTTCTTTAATGAAATACTTAAAATTTTTTTACTAATTTTGATATGTAAATACAATGAGTACAGAAACTAAATATTTTTGCTGCCAATAAATTATTATATCATCAGTTTTTATTTTTATGTTCTGATATTAAAAAATTTGTACCCCCTTTTTAATTTTGGTCAATTACAACACCATCTGTGAAACAAAATGCAAAACTTTATTGGGATAATCTTACTGAAGAATTCAAATCTGCTATAGAACATGGGGATTCGTATTTAAAATTCTAAAGTAGCCCCACCCATTCCTTGAATATATTTAACGTATAAAATTTTTAGAATTTTAATCAAATACATATTTTGCAAGATATTTCACTATTTTCATAATTTTCAAACTTTAGAAATGATTAATGTTATAGAATATATAATCATTTATATTCAATATTAAAATTAAAATTGTTTTGAACTTAAAGAAACAAAACTTATAAAACTACAGTCTCTTAAGGCTTAAATATTTAAAAATTATTTTTTTTACACAAATTAAAGATTTTTGAACTCCGAAAAGATGCTACATCAATCACTTAAATTTTTATCTCCTTTGCTTAACATTTAAACCTTAAACATTAAGAAAAGAAAAATCACTATTAGTATCTGATATTTCTATATTAAGAAATTTAAATAACTACGTATATAAATAGTAAAGTCAAATACATATGAAAATCCATCTTAATATGAAAGCTAAATTCTAAGTTACTGTACAAAAAAAAAATTATTTAGTTATGGAAAAACAATACATATTATAATGAGTACAAACATAAAAATGCTTAGTAGTGATTAATTATTACTAATCTTTTCAAACATTAATAAAAAAGGATGGAACAAGATTTTAAATCTTGTAAAGAAAAATGTGCAAAAAAGTTCAATGCTCATAATAGATATACCTAAAATTTAATGCATAGACAAACACAAATACCATAGACAGTCAATAAAACAATAGAATTGGGCAAAACGAATTAAGTAATTCGAATCAATAGGAATCAGTTCACCTTGGAGATTTGAATCATTTATTGATTCGGATCATTTACTAATTTGAATCACTTGTTGATTCAAATCACCAGTTGATTTGAATCAAATCTTGATTCGAATCATTTACTGACTGGAATCAGACAGTGGTTTGATAATGAAGTTGGACCTTAGTTTGGAAGCTTTAATGGATGATTGACTCTGTGCATGTTGAATAACAGTCAGGACCTAATATAGTGTAAAGGTCTTTATAATGAAGGTTTAACTACAAGGGGGGTACAAAGAAAGGTAGACTGGATACATAAAATTTAAAAACTAATCAATTGATAAGAATTTAGAATGCTCCAGATATGAAAAAATATAATCTTACCTAATAATGAGTTGGCCTTTGATTCTATAGGTAATACCCTAAAATCTAAAAACCATGCTTCTCCCCAAGACAATACAAATGAAGATAGTATCAGCACAACAGATGCTGTTGTATTAGAATGAGCCCACTAAAAGAAAACGAAATACGAATAAAATCACAAACAACCTTGAAAAAAGATAACAAATAAATTAATAAGAATACATAGAAAATACATAGGATTCAAATATATAATAGAAAATACATAGGATTCAACAGATTTTGAAATTAACTCCCTACATAAAGATAAGATATAACATCAAGAAAGTACTTTCTAAAAAACAATTAATAAAATCAAAAATGCTTACATCTATTTCATAAATGTAAAAAGGCTAAAATAATAAATTATAATGTAATATTAAAAATTTTAAGTTACTTACTTTATATAAGAACACTTTTGTAATGATGAAAGCTGTAGTTCCAGTGGTAGTAAGCTAAAAGAAAATGTCAAAAATCAAAAATTTATGAAAAATGTAGGCAATAAAGAAAATGAAAAAAATTTAATTTATAAAAAAATAATGCTTACTGCTACTACCCACCAGTGAGACAATCTAATAACTACATAAAATAAAGCAATCAGAAATAATCTAGCTAATCCTAATACCTAAAAAGAAATAAATTTCAAATTACATTGTAGCCACTTAACATTATAACATATACCAAGAGTACTTTTAGAAAAAGATACATTTTTTTTTCGTTTACGGCAACAAATTTAAAGTATTAAATGTAAGAATATTAGCATCACAGGAGATATTCTGATATCTTTATGAAAATACAAGATTTTTATTTCCGCAAATTTTCAAATGTACAATCAGTATTAGAAAAGTAAAAATTAACGTGTGAAAAAAGTATTAGAGCATATGAGATAAAATATATTAAGTTTTTTTTCTGGTGAAAAACATTTTTAAGAGAAAATAGCATAAAACTTGCATTTTCAGAACTATTTTGACTCCAGCCTACATCTCTGCAAAGTAGCTCATGAGATAGATGTCAACTATGTAACTGATCAACAGATAAGCAACTTTATTAAAAAGCAACTTAATTTTTATTGCTAAAATGATTTTTATCATTGCATCCTTTGCCAAAATATCGAACTAAAATGAATTATTTTAAAGACTTAATAGTATACACTCAATTAACATAAAATAATAACGAGCGTCTAAATAAATCCCATATAATTGCACTTCCTCTAAATATGGAGCCCAATGTAATTTCAATGAAAAAGATGACTAGGGCAAAGCATGCCTAAACCTAAAATTGGTCTACTTTGACCTAACATTTAATTAAAATGCTCTTTTCTTAAATAACTATTCTAACTTCAAATAAATTCATTACTCACATTAAAAAACATACATTTGTGGTAAATAATAATTTTAAACTAGTTTGTGAAAGAAAAAAAAAGAGGCTGAGGTAGTTCTGGTTTACAGAACAAAAGTCCAGATAACATATTCTTCCGTATAATAGATCCCCTAATATCTAATCAGTCAAAAAGAAAATTTGAAATGAAAAATAAAGGATTCAAAATATTGAAAACGAAAAAATTTTTAAAAATATGATTTATTATAAGTAAACAAAATTATTAATGGCTTTCTCTTCCATTTTGAACAAAAACGATTGAGGCAAGAAACAGAAATTTGAGTCATCCTAGAAGGATAAATCATAATGTCATTTAACATACTTAATTTAAGCAATTGTAGAGTACTTTAATGTACAAAAGCGAGTTGATGTTTCAAATGTACGAATACTTTTACAAGAACAAAAAGGCAATGCATAATATGTTGATGTGCATAGTGCGCAAAAAAAAATGGATTACCTTTAATAACTTTTGATTTAATGATCCGATTTTCATATTCTAGGACTATCTTAATGGTTCAAGGAGTGCCCTCAAATATACTAATTAAGAAATACAAACGATATTTTAATCAATAAATTATGAAAGTACACAAAAATGTACTTTCTCTGAATAAAATACCTTTTTTTCAACAGATTCGGACTTCTGACCCCCAAAATATAGGAGGGAACCGCAATCAGGGAAATACGGTTCCAAAAGTTTCGTCAGGAGAGCTCTCCAAATTTTGGACCCCTACATATTAATTTTACTTTTTGCGTAGTTCTCGTGATCATTTTAAGCTAATTGAAAAACATTTGCGCACAATTATAGAATTTGTTTGTCCAAAGGAAGTTACACACAAAAAATAATTCTTAATAAATATTTATTATATTTTATGTAATAATGGTTAAAAAATTTTGAAGTGTAAGGTATGTAATTCTTTGACTCATTTTAAAGAATATAATTTTACATGGCAGAATACAAAATTTGAACAAAATTGGTCGAATAGTTCCTGAGAAATCGAATTTAAAATATCTGACTTTTTTAAAATTTAATTTCTCAGGAAATATGCAACCGATTTTGCTCAAATTTTGTATTTTGCCATGTAAAATTACACAGTTAAATTGTAGACCTTATAACTGAAAAATTTTTCGATTATAAAATAAAATAATAAATATTTACAAAAATGTTTTTTTTAGCATGGAATTATCTTCGGATAAACAAATTTTATAATTGAACGCAATTTTTTTTTTAATTAGCTTAAAATTTTGAGATATGGTAAAATACGTAAAAAGTAACTTTGGTGCAAAAAGTAAGGAGTCCAAACTTTGAATCGTTCTCCAGAACTATGAGGAAGATATTATATATACTACTAAATGTGGAATCTTGTTTTGTCCTACAAAGGTTTTATTTTAATTACTTTTAATCCTGCAAACTTTCTTTAAATTAAAGTGGTTAACATGCATTTATTTCATTATCTAGAATATTTAATTTTTTTAAATTCTATGAACATTAGGAATTTTAAACACTTAAATTTATCTTCAAATGGACTTAAAATATTATGTAATGTGATAAAAAAAACATGAATTTTCCCACTGTTTTTATTTATTTCAATTTATCTGATTTTTTTCTGACAGATTCTGATTTTCTGATTCTGTTTTTTTCCTGAGTAATAAGCTTAGCAGTTGTTAATTTTAAATACTTAAAAGAATTGAATTTTATGCAAACATATTACAAGGTTAACTGCTAAACCAATGATGCTTGACCAATGATGTTTATATAACTATCACTACCCATAATTGCTGTCAACATGTCTGTCTAAATACTTGGGCATGCAGCCCTTTATTGGTCAATCTGCTGTATATGTGGCCTTTCACTCAAAAAGGTTGTGTTTCCCTACAATACACATTTAGAATATAGATATATCAGAATGCTTAAACAGCTTAAAAAGGACAAATATATATAATTAAAAGATCAACTCCCAGAGAAAAATGCATAGCAACATCAATTAAAATACTCACAAATAATGAGAACTTATGTTAATATTAATGCATACATAATATTTGTAAAGAGGAGATATGCTTTTTAGTAAATAGAAGTAAATAACAAAAACTGCTTACGATAAACCCTTTTTTTCCCGTTAACTGTTTGGAAAATAATAATAAAGGGAGTTCATTAATATGGCTCACCCCTTCTCAGAACAAATAGGGGAGCAGAATATGTTCAATCACAAAAACGATGTTTAGGGAAATTCAGGCAGCACTGGGAAATTTTTTTTTGTCTAATTAAATGAAAAAAATTTTGCAAATTTTTTTTTGTATAAAAAAAGAGGCCACTTACAAATTATAATTATAAAGTACAGTAAGCTCCTGATTATCCGCCTTGCGGATCATCTGAGTCACTTTTTTTGTGTGATGATAAACAACATAGCATTAAGAATTGAAAATTAATAAATTCATAAAGATGGAACTATTTATAACAATATTTTTATATGACAAAATAATTTGATATAACAATATTTTTATAAGGTGATGCTAAAAAAGAATTCAATATAGTTTTAAATAGAAAATCACCGAAAAGTAAAAAATAATAATAATAAAAGATGCATACCACAACATCAAACAGGGAAGATGTTATGTTATAATTCAGGACTTCATTTTTAAGAGCTGTAGCAATAGAGCTATCTGTAGATATCTAAATGAATAAAAAATTTTACATAAATAGTAATTCATACAAATAATCTTTATGTTGACAATAATTTGCAAGATTAACATTAAAATTACTGAACAATTTTGCTGCAAAAACAAATTTTAATGCTTGTTCATTGGTTAACAAAAATCACTATTTTGAAAAATCAATAGAATGAAAATTCTATCATTAAAAACTACTTTATTTTCAGAAAATAAAATTAAGTACTTTTCTAGTGGTTTATTCGATAATTTCTCATTTTAATATTTAAAATCAATGTTTAGGTCTTATCCAATAAAATTGATTTTTCCCTCCTTATTTGGTGCCGTTTACTCGCCTTACCCGAAATCATGGTGATTTCTGCAAATATTTGAGGGGTTTCATTGTTATTTTACGATATGCCTGACTTTTTCTACCCTTACATGCCCCATGAGAATTTTTACATGCGCTAGACAGCATAATTTTTCAACTCAGGTATGTATAGTGTGCAAAATAAAAAATGGACCACCCTGAATAACTTTTGATTTAAAGAACAGAACTTCACATTTTAGGACACAATGTAAAAGGTTCAAAAGGGTGCCCTCGAATACGCTAATTAATTAGTGCAAATAAGATTTTAAGTTACAAAATTAGACACAAAAATGTATTTTCTTTCTTCATTTTTTAAAATACATTACATATACGAAATTAATTTTAAAAAAGGCAAATAATGAACCAAAGAAAAGTATAATTTGCTGCAGTTGAGCATAATACAAAACAAATTTTACTGCAAAAGAATAATAAAATATGATAGTTTTAATAACAGAATCATTTTGTATAAAATAAAGTTTTAAAAAACATCAACAATGTCCAGTATAATTTTATTAATGAAATACTGAGCAACTCATAATAGTTGAAGATTAACTTTTATAGTAAAGCTGCAGTAATAAAAAAAAAACAATTGGTAAATATTCTCATACCAATATTTAATTAAAGAAGTTCCAGAATTCCGTCATTAAATTATTTTTATGTATGGTTTCAATACAATAATCCTGTAATGAAATCAAGGTGAATATGCTGCTTAAAATTTTTGTACTAAAGTAACTTTGTTGATTATCCCTCTAGTGATGTAAAAGCATCAAAAATTCAGCTGGCCTGTTCCGGGTATCCAGCAAAAATTTATTTGTAATTAACATCATTTCCGGGTACAAGGTTGGTTTTCTATCATGTATGCAAAACAATATAAAAATCATATTTTCTATTAAACAAATATTTCACAACAAACAGTTTTCAAGAAATTTAATGTGCACCTTCATAAATACAAACATATTTTTTTATTTTTAGATTTTATTGAAAATTAAATTCTAGAAATAATTTTGGGTTGATTTAATTTACTAAAAATAATTTAAAATATTTGCTTGCATATAGAATGATTAAGTGGAGACATCTGCTAATAATGGACTTAATAATTAATCTTTAATTTAAATTTTTCAATAGCATTTATTAATGTAGCTTTAGAAGAATGTAGAATATTTTTAAAAAGATTATAAAATGACATTATATTGAGTAAAAATTTTTTTAACAATCAAGGTTTAAATTTCAATCATTCAATAATTATAAATGTAGCATAAACGTTTTGCACTTTGTGAGAATTCTTACATGTAATAATTTCCATTTGTAATTTACAACACTTTCTCATTAAAGATTTAGGAAGTTAAATAGCAAGAAGTTAGACTATGCAGCTAACAGGCCCTAGGTTTGGCTCTATTTACACCTACAAGAACCAACAAGCTTAAAAATAAACATATTAAGCAATTATTTCTTAAAAAAAGAATAATATGGTTTCTTTATGACTCAATAAGGCAATAGAATAATCACAATATCAAAAAATTTTCAGAATAGCTTTGTAGTTTAAAAGAAAAATAGTAAATTTAAAAACATCCTATATAAAAGGGAGAGAAACACAGAAATTCAACTTACTACTGTACAAATAATCCACACAAGGAAAGTAAACAAAAGGTCAAACACTGTTAACAGAATAAAAAATCTCCTCGTGATAGACATCCTTCCATCTACAGAGACTCCGTCCATTATTGATGGTTCAATGCTAGGAACATAATGACCATTTACAGATCCATAATTAGAACGAGGTGGACCAGATGAATTCGGCAGAAGATTAGGATAGTTTGTACGATTAGACCCCATAAAAATATGTAAGCCACTTACATTGCAAAACTACAGAAACCTGGAGAGAAAAAAAAATTAGAAAAATTAAATTACTAAACAAAGAATCATATTTTATGTATGTATATAACATATTGTAGATAATTTCACACATTCATAGTTAGATATAACAAAGGATAATTCTGCATCAGAATTTATCAAAAATTGGGCAGTAGCACTAGAGAAACTAAAAAATAAGTAAATCACAGAAATGGAAGAACTCAAAAAGTAAAACTCGTAAAGCTACACATATATTAAGGCAAACATCAGTTATACATCAGGGCAAATCATTTTATATATATACTTTAATGTTTTCCAATTTTAAGAACTCGACAGTGGTAGAACATGGTATTGATAAGGGAATATCCTTGATAGAGCTATACCATTTCTAATATTTACAGATAAAAGTTATACAAGAGTAGTAAGTTTATTTATTTTACTTATTTTTCTTATATTCACATGAAAACCAGAAAAACAAACTTATGACAAATTCAACAGAAAAAATTTAAAAAACTAAACACTTGTGTCCAAATGAATCATTTTTAAGTGATATAACACTCTGCTGTTCATTTAAAATTAGAGATAATAATTCAGAAAAAAAAGAAACGTTGAAAAAATAAAATATGAACAATAATTTACATTCCTTTGTAATTGAACAAGAAATTTGTGTTTAACTTCAAACATAATCAAGCGGATTACTAAATATATTTAGGTGTTTTTAAGAGAAACAAGCAACCGAGTATTCTCAAATAATATTTGAAATAAGTCTATTGTACTCGTATAATCACTGGTTCTTAAATGAAAAAACTTGCTGTGAGATTAATGAATTTCACTATAGTTACCTGACCCTCCATTTTTCCTAAAAACCATAGGTTTATAAATATTTGTTAGACATATTATGTGTGTGCTCTCGGAAACAGAGGACTTAATATCCTCATTAAGAGTTTAAACAAAAACATAGCCTGATTGCTATTATATTTATCAGAAACGACTGCCGCAGCCATTCCTTTATTAATAATATTTACAATTACATTAAATTTAAAAATACAGTATATATGCAAGGGAACATATATTTTTTATATAATAGAATACCTCTTTCTGGAACAAATTGAAATTAACAAGCCCGTTGATAAGATTTTAGTCTACTGTTAGAAGATAAGTAGTGGAGGAAAATGAATTAATTAAAAACTAACTTGTTTACATTAAACTTACCCTTCAAAACTTTTTCCTGTACAAATTGACAGATCGTTCATGTGACGTCATATTCAATACCTCATGCTAATAATTTTATAAAAAAAATAATGTATTTAAATTAATTTAACAAGTAAATGTTTATAATACTTTTTCTTAAAAGGTAGAAAAATTAACTATCAATATCAGATAGCGCTCACGTGACTTCGGTGTTTGGAGATTGGCTGCTTTTGGTTGGGTAAAGCTAATTTCCGAACGCTAGTGAGGAACACTATGTATTTTTTCAAATCCAACCTGCCACTACATTTTCCTTTGTTTATTTATATTTGCTTGAGAAACTCTCGTGTTGTCAAAAAATAGATGAAATCAAGAACCCCACAGTTGGACAAATCATAGGATTCGCTTCCCACGGGATCGCCAAAGTCAGGCAACACTGTCCGCAGTGAGTGGGCAGGTGTGACCTCTTCGATCAGTCTGTGAAGGAACCGAGGGTGCAAGGTATTGACCCTCATTAATCTGTTCTACTATAAAGTGCTCGACATATCATGCGTCATCAGTCTACCAAAGCTGGGGCCATCCCTTTTTACAGAGAATCGAAATAGTGATGGCATGTGTTTGGATCATCCTCAGGAATGTTTCTCAAACCTCCGTCAATAGCCAATTATACAGCTTTATTGTAAAGCAAATAAAATACTACAACTGAAATCAAGCATCGACAAATCATTGAAGTTAAATATTAATACAATAGAGATGTCTAAGCTTCCGTCACTTCACTTACCCTTCTACTGGTAATCCATCAAAGGGCAGGGATAGACTGGCTGGTAGGGTGTTGTGCCCATGTCCGAGAGGTTGTGAGTTCGATCCCCTCCAGTCGAAGACTTCCCGTATACAACATGGTGACTTGTGTATGCTAAATCTGTCGGAGTCACAAAGTCCTCCAAGTTCCCATGACAAATCTACTTCATAATGATGATCTACTCCATTCCCATAACAAATCAACTCCAAGCTCTTTTAACGTCTGGTGGTATTGGATCGCAGATTGCTTGTATTCTGCTTCAGGTCGAAATTACGATCTGCGGATGGATGATGTGTGAATGTGTCCTCCCTGTGAAAGTGGATGTAATGTATGTATGCCACTTTTGCTTTGTCCACTGAGAACTTGTACACACTGAAATGATGGGAATATAAGGGGAAATTCTCCTTGCCTCCGGATTAGTCATAAGTGTTTGCATTTCACTCCTTTCCAATTGGAGATCGACAGGTGACTACAGGTGGCGTAGAGCAGAACTCACTACCTATGGCAACATTTCGCATGCTTTTACCACCAGAGTGTGGAGAGTCACAGGGGAAGGAAGTACGTTAGTTTCTGTCTCGATTTTCAAATAAATTAAAAACATTTTAAGTTAGGAAACTATATGGAACTGAGAACAACATTGAACATAATTCTAAAAGAAAACGTCGTGCAAATTTAAAAAAAATATATTTTTAACAAGTAAATACGAAAAATATTAATATAGGGGGAAATATCACAGTACATTCCTATACAACTGAGAAAAGGGTCAAGACATGGAGGCGGTCTTCTCCGCAGATGACGTATTCGAGTGTAGCGATTGCGAATAATGCAACTAGTAGCTTGCAAGAGAAATGGAAGGATTTGAGAAAACTGATTACTGAAATACTTTCATATCTACTTATTCGAGGTAAAGATGTAAAGAAAGGGAAGGCACGCGATAGATGAATATAATGATGAATAATAACCCTGGGCAAACCCATGAAAGGCAAAGCATTGGTGAAAACCATCCACTATAACAACTAGGCAGCTCACTGCTGCATTTTAGACTTAAAAAATTCTGGACAATGTGATATGTTCTTTGAAATGCTTTGAAGTATTCTCTCAGCATTCCCCATTAGTAAGATTTGTAGCATTCCCCATTGTTAAGATTTGCAGCATTCCCCATTCTTAAGATTTGAAGCATTCCCCATTATTACGATTGATCATTTCTTAGTGGACGGTTAACAATAAAAATATCATTTAAAAAACAAGGTTTAATCTTTTTTTTTCCGGGAGAAATGATTCCCCCCTCCCCCCCTTGGCATCAGCACTTACATGGAATATTCCATATAATTTATGAATCTTGGATAAGAGTCTCATTCACACCGAACTAATCGTGGAAGTTCTTCTTTCATGTTTTTTGTTTCTCTTTGCAACGCAAATGGCAATTATTTTCATGCACAAAAAAAATTATAAAAATTCAGGAACTTCCTGACGGTCTTCTCATCAGGCTTAAATTTCAAGGATAGTATGTGGATTCAAAAATCATCGAATCCACTATGTGGGTCGACTGTTTATTAATAGAATAAATGCTTCTCAATGTGAACCAGCAAAGAATAAGAGCTCTACGTTTCATGTCGCTGACATGCATAGCTTGTTCATTGACTGCATTAGAGCCAGCATTTCCATAAAACATCCAGAGGAGAGAATATAAAATATCCAAAGGACAGAATATTTACTGTCCCAAAGCCATCGGATTTAGCATATTAGATTTTCACTTATTTTTCCTCATCCCAAAGCTCAAACACTAATGACTTTCAACTTTTGTCCAGAAACTTGATCTAGGAGTCTCTTTATCTTCCTAAGTGGATACGGGGATTTCAAATTCCTTAAATGGAATATCTGGATCCACTGAGCATCGATAAACAGGGAAAAAAGAAGAAAAAAAATCCATTCCTATTACTGATTAGGATAAATTTAGGAATACACATTCCTTTCTAGCACATCACAGGCGTATCAAGTTTGAATTAAGGTGACATTTTGGAGATGGCTGATGCGTTCTTATACTCTGGTCTAGTCCACCCTAAGATATTTTAGTAGCAGAATGATGATGAGATTAAATGCCGATCTGAGCATGATAGGTTTAGATAGTTTTCCAAGCCAAAAAAACCACAATCAATAATTTTTCATTAAAGAAAGAAAAAAAGAAAAAAAAAGAGAGAAAAAAATCGCGAAGACGAGTTTGTACCAATATTAATGAATGTAAGAAATTGGAGTGGTTGATAAGACTGAGAGATTTCGGAAGAAGAAATACCATATTTTTACATTTTTATTTAAGAACTATTTTATCTATTTTTTTCAAATGTTGCATTTTCTCATTTAAATTTGCATTGTTTAAAATGATAAAAAAAAATTTATACCTTCAATTCAAAATTTTTCGGTCCTTATAAAATAAAGTAATTAAAAATAATAAGAAACAACACAAAAATATTTTTTACATGGAATTATGTTTGGATTAAAGTTATAATTGCGTGCAAATATTTTTTGATTCGCTTAAAAGATCCGAGTTGTAGCGAGATACCCAAAAAGTGAAATTAACATTAAGGGTCCTAAACTTTTGACTCCTCTTCTGACTAAATCAGGACCATATTTCTAGATTACGATACCCCCCCCCTCCCCAAATTTCAATTGTCCAAAACCCAAACCCGCTGGGAAAGAAAAGGTATGTTTATTCAGAGAAAAGCGTATTTCTGTATCTGATTTTGTAACTTTATTAATAGTACTAATAATAAGCATATTTAAGATCGCCTCTTTGAAATGTTATGATCGGCATTTAGTTCGTGAAAACCCGATCATTAGAACAAAAGATATCCAGGGTTATATAAATTTTTAATTGGCGCACTTCACACTTTAAATATTTTTATAACTTTTGTAGATAATTATTTTAGTTACGAAATCAAACAGGAGAAGGTACTTTCCCTGAGTAAGCATATTCTTTTTCTTCGGAGTTTTCAATGAAAGAAGTAATTGCATGAAATCTATAAAATATTTTCTCAATAAGAGAACGGAAGAAAATATAACTGTAAAAATGAAATAAATGAAAAAAATTTCTTTGTATATTTTTTGCAGTATATAAATTACTGTCAATGGTCTAAAATAATTTAGGCCACAATGAGGAATATGCCTTTAAATACAGAAAGTAAATCCAATAAATTAGGCGATGATGCAGTAAAAAAAATATGTGAGGATTTAAAATGTTCTTTTTTTTTAAAACAGTTTACATTTTTATGGGTTGTACAAATCACACTGGCTTTCTTTGAGTGGTGGTGGTTCAGTGGATAGAACATTCGCTTTCCGATGAGGTGATACGGGTTCGAATCCCAGCAATAGCTGGTCGAAACCAATTCCGTACCCTGCTCGCACCTACCACACAGTAATAACGTAAAATATTTTCAGTGATAGACGGAATATTGGTTAGAGAACCCCTTGCCGTCAGACTAACCGTGGGAGGTTTTCGTGGTTTTCCTCTCCATGAAACGCAAATGCGGGTTAGTACTATCAAAAAAGTCTAAATTCTCCCATCACTTGATCCAGGAGTTCCCTTGTTTTTAGGATTGGGTTCAAAATTACAAGGCTACGGAGTTGAACATTAGTAGTCGCAAACCCAAAAATTGGGTCGGCTGTTCAACGACGGTTATAAAATAAAATAAAATGACTCTTTGATAAGCAGCTAATTTCTACTCAATTTTCATCCAAGTTTCCTGCGTTAGTTGCAATCTTTTTAATTTCAAGGCTATCCTTGAGTTTAATAAAAATAAAATTAAAAAAATTTTACTTTCTTTTTCATGTTGTACATTTTCATGTTCTTCTTCATTTCCTTGATTCATGATCAACGTATTTAAGAGAAATCTAATCACTATTTCCTTCCTTAAAACATGAGAAACGCTTTCCAAATGAAGAACACTTCGTAAAAATAACTTTCCTTGAAGTTTAATTCATTAAAATCGAAGACCCATTTATGTCGAAAAATGAATGACCTCAAGATCTCCGCATTCATGCAACCCCATTTTTTTTATTTTGAATATTTTAGTACATTATGCAGGAAAAAAACAATAATGATTATTGACTTTGGCGTCTTAAATTCATTGTAATGTGTTCATATGCGTTTCAAATGTATTTAAATGAACATTTTAATTTTTAAATAACTTTTATAAGCCGATGATGTTTAATAACTTCTTTCGTTCTTTCATTTTTTTTTAATAATTTTTTTAAAAAAATCTTTTTTTTTTATCGATAATTTTTAAAATTTACAGCATTGAATTGTTTTGAAAATATTATTCTTGTTTTGCAGATATAATGTAACAGAATCCTTTAATGCAAAGAGGAAAATGATTTAGGAACTGGTAATATTTTAAATTATTTTAAGTATTAAATTCTTTACTCATTGGCTTTATTTACGAATCTCATTGGCTTTAATTTAAAGCGAAAAGAAAAAACAAGATACCACGGTTCTATTAATAGTCAAACAATGAAAGCACATTAAAGATTGAGAAAAAGAGCGGTAATAGGTTAACTGCAATTAAGTCCACGCACTAAATATAATTTTATAAATTAAAATTTCTTTAAAGAAACGAAACTTACTTGTTTTCCTTTTTTTTTTCTTTAAACAATAAGAAAAAAAAAGTGAGAACGTGAGGGAAGAGAGACAAAACCTAAAAGAGGAGAGTCAACATGATAAATATCTCTTAATAAAATCTGTCTTAAGTTCTTACATAGAATATTTGTTCCTCATATTTAAAAGTTAAAAATAGATAAAATATTAACTAAATTAGAAAAAAAAATGAAGATGGAAAAAAAGCAATTAAAACTAATCTGCTTTCTTATACCCTAAGGGAGATAAGCAATGGGGACAATGCACAACGCAAACATCTTAACTTCTTCGGTTTGATTATTAATATTTGCCTTTTAAGAGGACGTCATGCCGCGGGAGAAACTTTTCATCGCAAATTCTTTCTCACTTCTATTACTAATTTAATATTTATGGTATAGAAAAAATGAGTTCAAGTAATTCTAGAGTATGCCTTGAAGTTATAATTGCTGGAGAAAAAAATTGAAAATATCAAATTGCAAACAAATTATTAAAAGAGAATTTCCTCATAGTGTAATCTACAGTTATTTCATTTTTGATATTTTAAAAATTTCTTTTCAGTATTTTAAACTTCATAGCTTACTCTAGGTATGTCTGAACTCACTTTGTCTATACTATAAATTTCAAATTAGTTATGGAGGTGAAATAGAATGCGCGATGAAAAGTTTCTCCCGTGGTATGGCGTCTTCTTCAGTAAGGTTATCTCAGAAGCAAGGTAGGAGGCTTAACCGATTCTATTATGTAACAAACTCTGCTTTGAGTATATTTGAGAATAGGAAAAACCTTTTTGCCAGCTTCCGAACCGGTTTCCTTTATTTGATTCTTTTATTCTCAAACAAAATCATCAGAAAATAATTCTAAACTTTTATTTTCTGATGATTTTTGTTTGAGTTTCTTTTCTAAATTGGTTATTTGTATTTCATGTTTTTTCCTGGACTTCTATACAAAACCATCGGGGTACTGAGGGAGTTAATTTAGGCATTTGCTTCTCCCTCAATTAGAAATGGTTCTGTTTTATGGCTACCGGGGCCGGTACCCCCTGAAGACGCCGGCTTCGGTGGTCATATTTTTATTTTTATTTCCTTCGTTTCCTTTAAAATATCTACCACGTTTTCCTCCCTCGACCTGACTAGAAATTCTCGAAGTATCTCCATTCTTAATAATTCGTTCCCCATTTTCAGTTTGTGATTGCAGCTTTATCTGCGAATCAAAATCTTATAAGTGAAATTGGGAGTAAAATTTTTATCGGAGCTCAAATCTGCATTAAAAATATGGGGATACCTATTTAAGATTTTGAAGTTGCTTCCCCCACACCCCGTGAAGATGAGGTTGGAGAATCGAGTTTGTATTATTGAATGCGTCTTTTGGAAATATTTCAAGTTACTATTTTTAAATATTTGATCCCGTGCGTATTTCTCAAAATATTTAACCGATTCCATATGTTATAAACATTCTATATATTTTAAACAAAAATGCAGGTGTCCTATTCTTCCCAGTGTCCAATCCCTTCTTATTCTATCATTTAATAGAAATGAGACGGGCTAGTCCCCTCCTTATATTTCATCAGATTTTTTTTATTATTTAGATCTTGTCTTTTATATGTTTTTAGATTTTTATCTTCGGAAAATTTAGAAATTTAGGGTCATGGCTTTTAAAAAAAATTTATTTTTAGTTTGAGTGGGCTCTGAATCTCTATTTCCTATGAGGGAAATAAATGCATATCAACTCAAAGAAAAATTTGTAAAAATATTTATTGCCTTTAGTACTATATGAATCTGAGTTTTAATTAATTCTGGGCTTTTTTTTAATAATTATTATTACAGTAGATTATGTCAGCATCACTCGTAATTTATAAACTGAATATTATGATTTTTTTATTTGCCTCACAATGAAAATTACATTAACAACACACAGTTACATTAAGAGCTATTCTATACAATACCTGGATTTACATAACGTAAAATCCAGGATTTGTAGAAGGAAATATTTGTATAAACTCCAGGAGCGTTTGGTTTAGCACAGCCAACTCCCCAAGAAACTATTCCGATCAAATAAGCTTCTTCATTTCGCCATTGTAGTAATGGTCCTCCAGAATCACCCTAAAAAATACGGTAAATAAATAAAACAAAACATGTATACATCATATTTGAATACTAATAAGTCGTTTTTAATGTATATTATTTAGAATGTACATTATTCAAAATGTATATTATTTAGAATGTATATTATTTAGAATGTATATATAAATAGTAAGTTTCAACATAGATGTTGTAGAAAGTCATACATTTTTGCAATAAATATATTATTTTGAATAAGTATTATTTCAAAAAAATTCTTGACTAATCACAATATAAAATAGCTCCCCTGTTTCAAATTGCTCCCCTGTTTTCACAACTCAAGTTAAAATTCTTGATGGTATATGTTGGTTTCAGTGCCATTCATGATGCTACAACATCATTTGATGGTAACCATTATCCATCATTTTCCATTATTCATTCATGGTTTTTGATATACCAACAAACTTCCATCATTCCATGATGGAAAATGCTACTTTAATACTATTATGGTTAACCATCAAGATAAATTTCATTCTCATGAACCAACAATCCATGATGATCCGCGATGGTCCATGATGGTTCCAACTATACAATTCTATGATGGTTTAATGAGAATTCTTGTTGGTTCTCATGAATATACCATCAAAACAATTTGTTTGTTCTTCATATTGGACCATCATAAATCATCCGCATTCCTACATTGGGATGATGGTAGTTCATGATCGTTCCAACATTTGATTTTTAAGAAACTATGATGGAAATTTCAGATGGAACATGAACAAACCATCAAAACAAGTTGCTATTCTTATGCTGGACCATCATAAATCAGTCCGAATTCCTATATTGAGGTGATGGTTACTTATGTTGGTAATCATCAGAAAATATAATGGTTCATGATGGAATTATTGATGATAATCATCAATATTATGTTGAACCATCAAAAATTTTGACTTGGGAAGGAATGTCACAGTAAAGGCGCAACTCTAAAAAACTAATTTTACAATGCCAGCAAAAATAAAGATTATTTTCATTGTGACATAATTGAACATTGTCCAGATAATTTAGGAAGAATTTCGTGCAATGCGTCTTTTATCAGTTGAAATTAAATTACTTAATTTATATACTTTTAACACTTTTAAAATCCAATAATTTGAAACTCAGTTTTGTGCATTTTTGAGCCATAACGTCATTTTTACACGACAGCGATATTCTGCTTTAAATTGGAAATTTTCTTGAAAATTTGAATATGAATTTTTTTTGCAATATTATTTTTAATTTGCATCAATTTAAATGAGATAAATTTGGATTTAGATACTTTTAGCGCTTTTCCATTTTGACTTATTGTTTAAAAATTTTTTTCTTAATTTGCTTAAATCAATTTCATACTTTGATTGATTTTAATTTGCAACGTAATCTGGAATATTTTTAATCTGCAATTACAACTATACAGATTTTCATCACTTCATAAAAAAGTAGCATAAAATAAAAAATCTAGCTTTGGAAAGTATGAGATCAAAATGAATCATGGTTGTCCATTGCACTTTGGAATACAATAAACAACTTAACTATAAAAAAGTGTCCTGCCGCGTGCAGAAAATAGAAAATGTAGCCTTGACATGATATTTTTATAAAAAAATAAAACACTTATCAGCAGTTATCCTATGGTCAGTAAACGGATTCTCGAAAAAATTCATCTTTATGCTTGTAAAATAAGGAAAGATTGGACTTTAAGGAAAACTGTCTGTAGAGGAAAACTTATATCAATTTCGTAAGTGATTACCATACAAAGCAAACAGTTTTTTAACTGGATTTATCAGTGAAATGAAAATTATTATTTACCCTAGATAACTAAACTTAAATCAATGTAACTCAGAAAACAACGAATTAAAACGTGTTTTTTTTTTATATATATATTTCCTTTTCTTTATGCGAGACAAATAAGCAAAATTTTAGTAAGATACTCTTAAATTTTTATTTAAATTAAATAAAAGTTTATTAAAATTGGAGAAGTTACAAAACTTAAAGTTTGCATCCTTTAAAATGTTTATGTGTTTTGTGTCCAGACCATGTTTTTCACTGCCAGGCCATTATCGACTCCCTCTTTCAACTTGGAGCACCCCCCATCGAAATTCTCCATGGCCATCGGGCTCCAGAACTTGCAAATCTTGTTATCAAGACTTTTCACGGTGCGCCTTAACTAAAATTAAATAAAATGCTCTTACACCTAGAAAATTAGAAGAGGTTCTGAATTTACAATGTTCCTTGATAATAAAAATCGAAAAATTAAAATAATCTGTGGAGAGATTTTTAAAAAAATCCACTTTGAACATTTTTGCTCATATTTCAAAAATGTTAGCATCATTTTGTACTTATAAATAGAAGGAAAAAAATAAAATATTTGTATTGCATATTCATAATAACCGTTTATAATAAATTTTATAATTATTAGAAGCTTTTTAATTGTTAATTATAGTCGATGAACCACTATTTAAAAAACAAAAATAATAAAAACTTAAATCGACTTTAGCGACACAAGCACTGTGAAATTAGCACAAGCACTGTGACTTTAAAAATGGTAGATTCCATTCGTGTATGTACACGAAGTAGAAAAGCAATTGAACCAGGATAAAAAACAAAGCTTAATATCACAGCTCATTCTGTCGACGATTATTTTGATTTTAAGGAATTTCCTTTCGTTTGTATAAAAGGCGACGAAGTCTCGGATGCTCCTGCTCTTGGAGTTTACTGCAGAGATGTTCCTGCTTTCGTTCAGTATGTGAAAAATAAACGAGATGTACTGGATGTTCACTTAAAAATGGGTATTGATGTAGGAGGTGGATTTTTAAAAAATATGTCTTTCTGTACAATCAAATGAGTTGAACTTCGAGTGCAGCTGTAAGCGTGCAAGTATGATGAGGGGATAGCTGCAAGGAAATTTATGGATTCTGGAGTTAAACAACTATTCATTCTAGCAGCCGTTCCGAGTGCACAAGAAAATTATAAGAATGTAGATCAACTCATTTCAACGTTGAATATAAGTCCTTTCCACGGCACAATTGCAACCGATTTGAAGTTAGCGAATATCTTAGCAGGTATAATGTCGCACAGCAGCGCATACCCATGCACTTATTGTTATGCCAAGAAAGATGAGCTAAGCAGCTGTGGCGAATTGAGATCCCCCGAAAATGTTTCATCGTATTATACAAGTTGGCTGACTGAAGGAAAAGGTTCAAAAAACAAAGCGAAAGATTATTTCAATTGCATTCATCCACCGCTAATTGCAACTGTTGGAGGCAAAACATTCCTAGACATTATTCCACCGCCAGAATTACACCTTATGCTTGGTGTTGTTAACACTGTTTTCACGCATATGTTGAAAGAGTGTGAAAATGAATCGCTGACATGGACAAAAGCTTGTCACGTTCAGCGTGAAATCAGACGAGGATGTTCTGGGTTTAAAGGAAATGCATGCAAAACACTTTTGGATAAAGAAGAACTTCTGCTCCAGTTTAAAAATCTAGCAATACTGAAGAACGTTAAAGTATTTGACGACTTCAAAAAAGTGGTTTCTGCATGCTTCGGAAATAATCTTGACCAAAATTACAAAGCATGTATAGAAGCATTCAAAAAGAGCTACATGGACTTAGGTGTCAGCGTTACACGAAAGGTTCATGCAGTTTTTTTTTCACATTGAACAGTTCTGTGACAAAAACGGTGAAGGATTAGCATTTTTTAGGGAGCAGGCAATGGAGTCCGTACGTTTTGATTTCTTTAAATCTTCCTGGGAAATTAATAAGGTTGCTACAAATCACCCGGGTTATTCTAAACACCTTTCGAGCGCTATTTGTAGATATAATGCTTCACATGTTTAAATTGATGTAATTATAATTAAATTATGTTACATTTTCATATTTTATCAGCAGTAAAATGTTTAAATAATAAAAGCTTAATAGAATTACAACTGAAAAATCATTATTATATCAATTTTTTCCTTTCTATTGATATAAAGCAACGCCAGATTTTCCAAAATATCATGCTTCGTGCGCAAAAATGTTCAAAGTGGATTTTTTTAAAAATCTCTCCACAGATTATTTTGATTTTTTGATTTTTATTGTCTGTTAACATTGTAAATTCAGAATCTCTTCTAATTTTCTAGGTGTAAGAGCATTTTATTTAACTTTGGTTAAGGCGCACCGTGTTTTGGATGACTCTAATCTTTGCACTAGCACTGTATGCATAGACACGACAACAACAACAACATGTGTTTTGTGTACATTACTTCGACAAAATCCGATATTATTTTTTGTCAAATGTTTAGTGATATAGGGTTAAATAAATTTTTGTTTTATGGTAAATCTGTTATGAGTTAGTTCTTGATATCTTTTTTTTTAAACAATGTTAAAAAATCTAAACGCACTTTGTATATAAGTATGTTTTTCTTTTATATAAATTTTCAATATATTTCAATCAATGAGATTTTTTTTATAATGCAACTAATAATTTATAATAAAACACTAATAATTTATAATAAAACACTAATAATTTATAATAAAAATTTGATGTGATTTTCTCAGTTACAGCAAGCAATTCTAAAACAAATATGCCAACATATGATTCCCTAAGGGCTTTCTTTTCAAGTGAATGACAAAATGTTTCGTAAGAACTTATTATAAGGTATGTGCTAGAGAATAGACTTAAAAAGGATAATCTAGCTTTCCCGATTATACTGTTACAGTGAATTCTGAATTTCGAAATTTGAAATTGTTCACACTTACTTTTTCTTATTAATGCGTGATTTTTACAGTATTATTTTCTTAATGGAATCGGAACGATATTTTTTGCAGGAATAGAAGTGACGCTAGACAGAGACGAAGAAAGCAAGATTCAGCATACTAATCACCGTTCGTAAATTTTCCTTCCCGTTGACGTCAGAGCATGTTCAATACAGCTGAATCATTAACAAGTCGAAAATTTATAACATACTCTCTCTTCATCTCCGTCTACCACCGTTTTTCATGCTAAAATTATCGTTCCAACTCCATATTATGCTTTTTTAATATGAGAATCTCGTTCTGATATGAAAAAAATTTCTAAATATCACATATAAATTTCGAAATTCTATCCCGCAATTCAACAGGTTTTTGACACTTCAAATCTCACTTACTCTTTAATGATTCGTCAGTTTTTCATTTCGTCATTGATGGTTCATCAATCGCTTTTTCTTTCTTTTTTTTTTACTTATTTAAATACTAAGTTGTGACTTCGAAGTGTATATTGTTTTACCATGGTTTCCTTGCTTGACAGTTTCCGAGATTCCGATGAGTATTAATAAAACGGCTAGTAGTTCCTAAAATACTTCAATTAATGTGTACACAAACTTAAAACCAGATGAAATAGTTAACAATCCTTTACTTGGCAAGCGTCAATTCCTCCAGGTATGTAACCAGCACACATCATGGAGTCTGTCAATGAAAAATAATGAAGACACTCATCAAATGATATCATGCCCACAACTGCTGCTTGGAGATCATTTGATGCTGTTTTCTCCTCTAAAAAAGCATGGTTAACATATTAATTCTAAAATTGCAATGAAGAAATATTTGCTATTTGAAATAACATTTCGAATATATCTATTATACTATACATGTGCATCATGATTTTAGCATATGGCAGTACGTATTGTGTACAAAATTAAAGCCTTTAATAACTTTGATCGGGTAATCGGATTATCCCGTGCTAAAAAGCAATCTTAATGGTTCGTAAGGCTAACCTTAAAATGAAAATAACTTTAAATAACCTTACATTTATGCTATCGGTAAAAAAGAAAAAAAATAATAAGTACCCTGAATGAACATACCTTTTTCTGACCAATTTAGATTCTTGATACTTAAGAAGTAGCCACAACCTGGAAAATATGGGTTCCAATAGTTTGGTGTTGAAAGGTTGGATTCTTTAATGTACTCGTATTTCACTTTTCGAGTATTTCGTTACCTCAAAAATTATTTTCTTTTTAAAAAATTTTTATTTTTCAAGAACTAGTCGACTTTTGGATTTTGTCATTTTAAAATTACGTAGATTAAAAAGGGATTAAAATTTGTATACTTTAATATCAAAAAATTTTTCAACCATTAGTTAACTAAATTATAAAAAATGATAAATAATTTTGAAAATAAATTTTTGCATGGAATTATCCTTACATAAATGTATTTTACAATTGTGCTCAAAATGTTTATGATTCGCTCCAAAATTCAAGAGATATGAAGAAATACGCAAAAATGAAATTAACACTATAGGGTCCAAAGTCTGAACTTTCAAATACTTTTTTTTATAAATCTTGTGAGACTGTTTTGTCCAGATTGCTGCAACTCCCTCCTCCCTAGTTAGAGGATCAAGATACCAAAGTCGTTGGAAAAAAAAAAGATTAGATTATTCAGAGAAAGTACCTTTTTTTTGTCTGATTTCGAAACTTAAAATATTGTATGCACTAATAAGATAGCATATTTAGGGCTAGGTCTTTTTCCTATTAAAATTTCATGATAATTCGTGATAATCCGATCATTAGATCAAAAGTTATTAATGTATTCCGTTTTTTTATTTTGCATTTTCTACTGAGAAAAGAAAAAGATCACTCTGAATAACTTTATCTTACAAGGAAACTACGAATGGACAAGGAATTCACGAACAAGGAATTCTACAATGAATTAAATAGTAAAGTAAATATCCTCTTTAAAGGGAGAAACAGACAAGTCGATAAGCTGTTTCAGGTGAACTAAAACAGAGAAACGTACGTAACAATTGTCGCCAGAAAGCAGGTCAACGATAACCCTTCCTTTTTTTTTCTTTTCTTTTTTGTTGCTTATCTTGGATTAGCTGATTTCTAAAATTCCATATGTAATGCATGATAAAACTACACCTTGTTTTCTGGACATTTCTAACTTATTTGAAGCACAGAAAAATAACAGGGTTAACTTTAATCTATGACTAATTTAATTCTTAATCTCGCACTAGAATTACGCCAATAAATCATTGGCGACTGACTGGAATTCATGCTTAGTGATGATCGACAGTGTAGCATGCACATGTTGCACTACCCCAATTTAGGTGCTATCCAACCCAACCATCGTACCATGCTTCCCAACTGCCCAACTATGTCCGGAATTTTCAGTTTCGAAACTGTCAGTGGTATTGCATTAGTGTAGATTGCGAATCACTAAGAATTGTTTATTCCGATCCCCACAGTGCAGTATGTTCAAATATCTAAAATTCAGCACGGAGTTTTGAGCCCCGGTCGAAGCCATGGAGGGAAAAGGACTATAGCAACAAAGAATACATTATATCCAACTTTAGTAACAGTGCATAAGTATATTTACAGTAATATTCTTAAAATAAAAACGGTCACTAAATTTACAAGGAAAGATTTCTTGTAAAAATCAGTTAAAGTGGGAGTTGAGGGCCGAACTGTTCCAGAAACTGACTTTTTTTTCTTCTCTTCTCTCATATTTCTTCCTTTTTTCTTTTTCTTTCTTTTTGCATTTTTTTTTTAATTTTTTTTTTAAATTTTCGCTTATTTCATTTCATTTCTGAGTTTAAATAGCGACAATCCTTCATTTAAAGATGAATAAATAGTGTCCAATACGAAATGCTTGATTGTCGCAATAACGTTACAGCCGTCCTATACTATGGAGAGTGAAATTAAAATACACAAATTTACAAGCAAAATAATTTTCTAAAAAAATCATTTTTTTTGAAAGTATACTGTTTATTTCATACTGTGTTGCTATATTTAAATTTGATAATAAGAATAGTTGTGAAATTCTGCAAACTCTTAAATAAAACATGCTACAATGTTTTAAAATCTCAGAACGACAAGGATTTATTCTTCTAGACCTAAAATCACAAAATCTCTGGTATTTTTTTTTTAAAATTATAACTTTATAGTAAATGAAAAAATAATTTACTAAAAAAAAAATTTAAAAATTGTTTTGATTGTGAGTTTTAGTGTTTTCACGACAAGCGATCTCCGTCATAAACGGTTGATCGGTTTTTCCAAATATATTGTTCAGGTGCGTCAAGAAATAACGGACCACCCTGAATAACTTTTGATCTAGTGATCGGATCTTCACATTCTAGGACTCGTTCTTAATGGTTCGAGCGGGTGACCATAAATATGCTAATTAATTAATGTAGATGATACTTTAAGTAACTAAATCAGACACAAAACTGCACTTTCTCTGAATAAACATACCTTTTTTTCTCAACGGGTTTGAATTTCTGACCCCAAAAATATAGAGGTAAGGAATTTTGTAACTGTAATCAAAAATGTTTCAATTCGCTTAAAAAGTTCTGGAGATACGGCGAAATACACAAAAAGTAAAATTAACCTTTAAGGGGTCTAAACTTAGGATCGCTCTGTGAACCATATTTCCCATATTGTGGCTATCCTCTATATTTTGGGGATCAGAAATCTAAATCTATTGAGAAAAAGGTATGTTTATTCAGAGAAAGGACGTTTTCGTGACTGATTTCGTAACTTAAAATATCGTCTGCACAAACTAATTATCATATTTGACGTAACCCCTTCGAATCATTAAGAATGAGTTCCAGAACGCGAAATTCCGACCATTAGATCAAAAGTTTTTCAAAGTGGTCCGTTTTTTCTTTCTTTTTTTTTCTTCTTCCTTTTCTTTTTTTTTTTTTTTNTTCTTTTTTTTTTTTTTTTTTTTTTTTCATACTGAACATAACTTGAAGTATAATTACCAACCTTCAGATAATGAACCCCAGCCAATCACAATAGCAGAATTATTAACTTCAGGTGGGTCATTTGAGAGAAGTAAAAAATCCATTGGTTTTGTTACTGGAGGTGTAATTTGGATCAAGCAAATATCATTATCTAAATTCTTTGCATTGAAGTCGGATTTTATGACAATCGTATCTATCTGCAAGGAGTTTTTAAAAATTAGGCATATTAAATTAATTGTAATTTGAATTATATTATGAATAAATAGTAAAAGGCTAGGGCTTAGGGATAATATAATGATAACTACATTGTAATTGCACGGATAGAAATGTTTTTTTGAATTTAGCGGAGTTTATTTTCTTTGAAATTGCAGTTATAGAGATTTGATCCAATGAGGGGCAACATGCTTTATTGTTCGTGAGCACATTTACTACAAGGTTGAAATTAAAACAAAATTATGATCATTCTAAATAAACTAGATGAGAACATTTGAAAATCTTCTTTATCAATCAAATAAAATTATATTATATAGTTCAAAAAATTATATTCAGAATGAAAATGCTTAAATGTTCTTTCTTTCACTAAGACATTAATTCAATGATTTGGATTTGTAATAAAAATACATTTTCTGATTGTTTAATATTATTTATTTTATAAAGGGAGTATCATGTAAAATAAAAATCTTTACTATTTTAATACTATGTTTATGGGTAAATCTCAAACTTCTGACATAAATATTTTAGAAAATTGTACCTAAATTTGTATTAAAAAGTTTTAGTTTACGTAGTGTGTTTCTCTATGTCCACTGTTGTAATGTATTTTTAGAGTCTCTGTCAAAAATGAAGTTAAAAAAAAAGTATGCACAAAATATATATATATATATATATATATTATATATATCACATTCAGGAAAAGAGAGTGATTTTAGAAATATTGTTTTCTTTTTATCTTTTAATTATAGATGTGATGCAGTGCCATGTTTGTATCTTAAAATATTAATGCCCATTTGTTATCAAAGCAGAAATAACCAATGAAAATTTTGAAAAGTTCGCAATCGTTCGTTTAACTTTCCAACTCTAATTATATAAAATGTGCACTATCAGTAAGCTTTATCATTCAGTTATTCTTTTATCTGTTTTGATTATCATAATATCTCAAATTTAGATTACCTCTAATTTTAAATTTCGAAGCATGAGATTCCTGTCGTTTTGGTAGAATTTATCTTTGAATTTTAAGCATTTTTACTAAAAACTGCATTTTTTCTATAAAACACAATACATGCTACATTTATAACATACATAAATGTAGCTTAATTATATATAATTAAGCTACATTTTCAAATTGTTCAGGGAGAGTTTCAAGAGCTCTATTGATGAAACAAGTATAAAATGCCAAATTTTCAATAATTTCACTATCTTTTTTCTAGGGGAAGCGTTCTGCTAGTTAAATATAGGGAACTTCTGTTAAATATAGGAACATCTGTTAAATATAGGAAATGTTATATTCTGTAACTATATTTTAGTTTAATGTATTTATAACTTTCATTTACATATTAGAAACTTAAAAGCACATCCCAATTAGAAGCATATGTCTGGCTCACTAAATAATATGTTCCAATTTTTCTAAAACAGCTAGCTGTAAAAATACTTACAATATATATATTTTCTTCTAAGGCTGGTTTCAAAGTAGAACTTCCAATCATTATGCGATATGAATCGGTTGAATACCTACATCATACAACTTAAATAAATTACTGAATCGAACTCAATAAACTTAATAAGATAAGTAAATTTTAATAGCATTCAATCAAGGTGCAAATAATATTTATATCATTAGTTGTTTTTAATTTGAAATCCATATAAAATTCATCGGGAGCGGAAAAAAGGTGAAATTGAAAGGTAATCATTTGAAATACCAGCACATTTCATTAGCCATCAAGTTCTGAAGTCATTAGGAAAACAAACTGACTTATAACCCACTTTCCTCACTAACTTTTTAGTGTCTCCCTCGCTTGAATATTAATGTACGACCAACTAATGTGCATTTTTATTTGACTAAATTTTTAACTAGGATTCGTAAAATACATAGTGCGGTCGTTACAGTACACTCTCTATGTCTCAGGAAAAATTAATGTTTTTTAAGGTCATTTTTACAGTAATGTATTTCTAAAGGACTGCTTCAAAGTTTAGCCGTGATTTTTGTTACTATCAAACTGCAGCAAATAATTACATTTTTTTGCTTTCTTTTATAACAGAGTGTCGTTTAAAGGTAAGTTGATAACGTAAGAAGATAAATTATTTTCACCTTCGGGTAGATTTTTTTCCCGTTCATTTATGAAAATGTGGAAAAGAATAGGAAAAAACAACCATTTAAAAACAGTGGACTGATGAACCATTTTTTTTTTCATCTTTTCAAATCATTTTTGGCTTAAATGTTATAAAGAAAATAGAAATATGCATTAATATATTTAAATATAATTACCATATATACCAACAATACCAACTTTTTAATGCAATGCGCCGCTGTTACAAGCCACTCCTTAGTAATTAACACTGCACCACAAGTGTGAAACAAACCTGAACTCGTTCGTACTTGAAGTGAAGCCTAGAGATAAAAAAATAAAAAAAAATAGCCCAATTATTACACGTTTTTACCTGGACAAACCAAAAATAACAAACAATTTAAAAATTAAAGGTGATAAAAATGTTCAGTTTGTTGAGTACTACTTAAAAAATAATATATATTTATCCTCGTTAAATTTCAAAATTAGCGATATATTTTAGCAACAAATGGCGCAACTACGTGAAAAAAAAACTAGTTAACAGTTGTTTTCAAAACTAGCCTTATTTTCAGCTGCAACAGGACTCAATAACTGGTACAGTACAGAACCCGTTATCCGGAAATCAGAAAACCGGAAAACCAAAAAACCGGAACGAAATTCGATACATTTTCCCGCCATTTAAAAAAAAAAAAATTTTTTTTCCTCTTAAGATTTTAGGATTTTTCTTTCTTTTTTGAAAAATGTTTACCTTACCATCATTTTGGAAATAATTATTAGTGTATTACTTCATCATTTTTCTTCTTTTTAAGATTATTTCCAAATATTTTTTCTTTAGTTGGGTTTAACAATAACAAAAACGGCTTTTTGTAGCGATTCAGAAAACCGGAAAAATCAGTTATCCGGAATAGCGATGATCCCGATCGTTCCGGATAATCGGTTCCCTACTGTATATTATAATTTTTATATAGATTTCTGGCGCTGATAACTGGTATATTGTAATTTTTATATAGATTTCTGATAATGTTTACAAGTCGAAAGTTTTTTCAAAATCTATGAAATTTAAGTATATTGATTGACATTCAGTAGATTGTTCGACTATAATCCTTAATGTCGCAATGTGGTCGACACATGTTCTATTAACTCTGAAACCTGCTTATTCTGCTCTTTCTAGTGAAACTTTTACTGCATACATTTAAGAAAGTGATTCCTCTCCAGTTGTCAAAAATCGTCAAATCACCCTTTTTGGGTAGTTTGATCAGCAGGCCTTCACTTCTGTCATTAGGCCTCTCTTCGCTCTTTATGATTTTATACAAGTCAGAAGTCAGTTAAAGCTTTGATTGCAGTTTTTGAATTTTTCTTGAAAAGTTCACCTGGTATATTATCGATGCCATCAGCTTTCTCACATTTAAGCAATTTTATTACTTGCGGCGCCTCAAGCTGGGTTATTGGACCTGTGTCTATGTTTAATTGTCTGAGTACTTTTTCTGAAATATCTTCAAAAACAGCAAGATTTAGTTTGTTTAAGGTTTCCTTAAAATGATCAACTCACTCTTTGGTTTGGTCTTTTTTTGATGAAAGTTTTAAACTTCGTTTGTTCTTAATGGGCCTCTTGATTGCTCATCTTTTTCCCTTCATTTTGTTAAATTATGTCATAAAGCCTTTTTGTGTCAATGTTTCTAATTGCTTCTTTAGTTGATATGGCCAGATCTTCGTAACATTTCCGTTTATCTTGTCTTGCACTTATCTTACATTCTTTATTTTTCCTCTTATAATCCTCGCAATGTTCTGGTTTAATTTCAACATCCTCTTTTCTCAATATTTTTTTGTCTTATTTCATGTCTTTCACAAACTAAGTTCTTGGTGTTTTTTAGATAGCCACTCTTTATCGTCAAATTTCTTATTTCCAAGAATCTTTTCAGCACTTTCCAAATATATTTCTTCCCATTTTTTATTTATTTCCATGATGTTCATGTGATTTAAGCCTGAAAACGATTTTCCAAAATCAGTTTAAATTCTTGGCTATCTGGGTCTTTAATTTCTCGACATTAAATCTTGTTTAATAGCATTCTTTCTTCATGTTACTCGACTTAATTTTTACTTTACTAATGACCAATAAATGGTCAGAATTTGCTTCTGCTCCTCACATGGCAAGAACATCCAACAAAGATCTCTTCCATTTTGTATCAATAGTAAAGTGGCCAATTTGATTCTTCGGCTTTTTATAAAGAGATAGCCAAGTAGCTTTATGGATATTTTTTTGCTGGAAAGATGGTGGTTAATAAATTGCATTAAATCCCACGGGTCAAAAATATATCCATTTTTAGTTCTATCATAAGAATATTTATTTAAAAAAAATTTGCGTTGCAATTCAGACTTTTTTTCATTGAAACTAAATTAAAATAAAATGCTATACCATCCACGGAAATTCATTTTCTTTTGCCTTTCTTCCACCAACAATTCTGTCAAATACAGCATTAAATTCCTCGGCATACGTGTTTTCTAGTAAAGCAATACATAAACCTGAAAAAAAATATTTATAAAAAAAGAAGAAGAAATAAACGAATGAAAAAAGTTTATTGTAAAACTAGGTAAAGAATGAGTGAATATTAAATTGGAAAGTGAGAAAAAGATTAAATTGGAAACTAATGAACTCAAGTCTCAGAAAGGAGAGAATTAGATGATGTAACTCAAAATTAATTTAAATCCCTTTCTACAAAATTGTTAATTTTTTAAAGCAAATGTGTAATGAAGTAACATATCGGTTGTAAATGTGTAACATATCGGTTGATACAGTATTTTTCGGAAAAAGCTTTTATTAAAATTTAATGAAAATATATTTGCCATAATGTTTGAGTCTTTTAACTGAAGTTGAAATAGTAGTTTTGATGAAGAATTTGCTTTGCTTTTTCGAACTAAAGGTAGGAATTTTTAATTCTTATTCAAGGTTTCTAGGAGGTAAATGACCAATAGTCTGATGTTTGAAATTCATGAGAATGTTAAGATTTATATCATGTGTTTGATTTATAGGTGTTTCATGATATATTATAACACAAACAGACAGTATGTAGAAATGATGATAACGATATAGTATTGATAATTATGCATATGACTTACCTTTAATTTTTAATTTTTTTTTTTTATGAACGATAGGAGATTATTATTTCTCAAAATTGTTACTCTAGATAACACAGGAAATTCAAAAGAATTATTTTCCAGAAATTAAGTTTGAACTTTGCGTTATGACAATTTAGAAAATTATCTCACTAACTTTTTAG